TGCAGGATGCTACCTTTGGGTTGGAATGAATCAACAAGATAATGTAGTGGCCAAGAAAATATGGAGTCTTTGGCTGTGTGAATGGGAGTAAGGGGGCTCTAGCCACAGAGGTGTTGATGTGCTTGGCACTGGCCCAGATGTCACCAGGAATTCTGCAGTCGCCTCTGGTACCAGAGACCCACATTGGGGGCCAAAGCTCTGCAGAGGGCACTCAACCCCCATTGGACCCTCAAACGTGGGCAAAACAGACCTCGTGCTTTTCTGGGGAGACACCTTCTCTCCCCGTGCCCAGTTTTCCTGCCTCCTTAACCGACACCAATGTTCAACCAGATACGGAGCCCCCACACCTGGACAGGATTCCGACTGTCCTATTGCCCTGTGTGCATTCACCCCGAGGCCATGGGTAGGTACTGTGGATCCAGCGCCAAAGTCTATTCCCAGCTCTTCCCCTGGACCACAGCACTGGCCTGTCTTCCTGCCCCCCATCCTGCCTGCTGCCCTGCCCTCCCCCCACCCCAGGAGACAGAGGGAACTTTAAAGCAGGTCCTGTGATGTCACACACCCCCCCTCCAAAACCTGCATTCCACAAAGGTCTGTGCTATCCCTTACTTCCTCACCACCATCTCCACCACACCTGACGTCACCCACTCCTGTCCAGCCACACCGGCTTCCTTCCTGTTCCTCCAGCCTCGCTCTTCTGCTCACGTCCCACTGGCAGGCTCCCTCTTTTCATACCTGTGCGTGTCACTGCCCCTCAGAGGTCATTCTCTTTTCCCCACCTGAGATAGTCACCCACATCTCTCACACCACATGGTTGGGATCCTCTCCACGGTAATTCACACCAGTCTGTTGACATGGGGATGTCAGTTCCATGAGGCAGAGACTGGCTGTGCTGTGCATGGATGTCTCTGCAACGTCCAGGACACTCTCAGGCATGCAGTAGGTGCTTGATGTTTGTGGGATGAATGGATTGGTAAGAACAGGCTTCAAGTCTATGCCACGTTGGAGGTCCTGGGTGGTGTGATTGGCCAGGAGACCTTGGGGGACCCAAGGTCACACAGCCTTCGTACCACTAGAAGGCATTTCCGAGGAGGGTGGAGATGACTCGCTCATGCAGCCCCAGCTCTCAGAACCAGGACCAATGGGTAGTAGCTTCCTGGAGCTAGATTTTAGCACCTTGTAAAGATCGTCTGAATGTCAGAGCTAACTCAGGGTAGCATGTTGCTGGAGGCCTGCAAGAAGAGGCTGAGTAAGTACCTGAAACAAAGTCCTTGGAGCCGTGCCTGGCACGGGGCAGCTGCCCCTATAAGATTTTCTGAGTGAATGAATAAATGCATGAATGAATGAATGAATGAATACTTGGATGAATGTCTCCAAAGATCTAGGCACTCTGAGTAATTAGACTGAGTGGCGTATAAAAAGTCCCTTCCTGCCCGCGAGGCCACTGAGAATGCCCGGTGGTTTCTGACCATAGGGAGCGAAGATTCTGGAACAAGGTCTTGCTACCGCCAACCCAACAGCCCACTGGAGAAGGTGGGAGGAGAGAGAGGGGCTGCTGAACTGGCCCTGCCCAGAGCTGCCTTTTTGGACATGCTGTCCATCGGGTCTGGGCTCTGGACCTGCTCCACCCCCCTGACCAGTCCTGGCACTGTGAGCAGGACCCTTCCCCACCCCTCTCCCCCAACCTCTGAGCCTCACATCTTAGCCTGGAAAATGGGGAACCGTGATCCCAGATGGGCCACCCCCAGGGTCAGTTCACAGGCGCAACGATGCCACGTTGGCGTAGGCTGGACTAAACTAACTGTGTGCCCAGGACCCCCAAGCCTCCAGGTGCTCCCCAGGCCCAGACCCAGACCATTCCTTGTCCCGTTTTCCTTTTGATGATGTTCCTGAGGTGAAGGGGGGGTGAGGAGGGTGCCTATGAGCCTAAGGATGAATCACAATCAACTCACGAAACAAGTCTAGGTCAGATATGAGTGGGAGCAGAAGCAGAAACTTACAGTAAACGCTGCCCTTCTCCCAGCACTGACTGCTCTCAAGCTGAGTAATGGGTCCCCCACACACCCCACTGTGCTCTCCAAGCTGCCCCAGCCTCTCTCTGAAGAAGGGGAGGCCTCGATTTAGACTGTCTGGCACCTCCTTCCCCCCTTCACATCGAGGGCTCTCCCTTCTCACGGTCCCCCCATCCTGAGGCAGAAAGCGGAACTCTGCCCCCATGCAGGATGCGAGCAACCCTGGAAAAGGCAAATCCAATCCAGAAAGTCTCTCCAAACCCCACCACTCTGGGGGGGGCGGGGGTCACTAGTTAAGCTTTAGGAACCCTGGTGGAAGGAGGGACGCATACAGTTTCTTATCGCCCCAGCAAACATTCATCCATGAGACCCTTCCCCAGCAGGAGTGCTAACTCAGGGCAGAGGTCTACATCTGGTTGGAGGAAAACGGAGCTGGCCCTGGAGGGCGTGATGTGGGAGGGAGGCTTGTAGCCTTAGCACAGGCCTGGAAGACAATGACAGGGAAATTCTAATCCGCAGAGCTCATGGAAAATTCTTGGGCCTCCCTTCCCTGCACCCCTGGATGGAAAAGGTGAAGGCCCTGGAGATGTTAGCGCAAGAAATTATTCTCTCAGGGTTTGCAGCATAGTAACCCTGGGTCACATTACAAAAACCACAGTTGGGGAGGCTGTGGTATATATGAGGCGTCAGAGGCCAAATCTCTTTCTCAGAAGGGTGACACACAGCAAGAACGCATTCTTGCCCCAGGGCAAAACCAAACACCAAAAAAAACGATGGCATCTTATAAAATCAGGCAATGATGCAAAAAATAGATTTAACATTCAAGCCCTGATCTGGGTCTTGGAGTTTTGGTTTCTTTATTTGTTTGTTTTTTAAAATAATGAACTTCCCAAATCTTTACTGGGGCAACAGAAGTGAGAGAAGGCTTGAAGGGTCCGTCAGAGGGAGTCTCAAGCAGGGCAGGCAGCCCCTCCCCCACGGGCGCCCCCTTCCTGCCAAGAAATAACCCAGTGTCTGAACCCGAGATGCTCAGCCTCTCTAGTAGGCGGGAATGCAAATTAAGACAACAAGGATATGGCCCTTTTCACGTTGACAAAAATAAAAACTCCGATAAGATCAAACGTCGGTTAGGATGTGGGGAAGTCGCTACTCTCAAGCACTGCTTGTGGGAAGGTGAATGGTCCAGCACTTTGGAAGGCAATTCGGCAGCATCTTTTAATCTGAATGTATTCTCACCCAGCGCTTCCATATTCTCTGCGCAGCTTCTTCTGTGGGAAAGAGGCACACACGTGCCCCCTAAGCATCCCTACAGGGCCGTACATTGCGTTAGCAAACAAATAAATAAGACACGATGGTAGGAGCCTTACCACCCATCCATCAGGGACATAGATAAATAAACCATGGAACGCTCATTTGATAGGATACGACGGAGCGTTTTCAAAGACAAGTGCGGACTCTGAATCAGCATAGAAAGCGCTCCAAGACACACTGCAGACACTTGTAAAAGTCAAACAAAGACCTGAATGTTCCATCCCGAATAGTATATGGAAAACCCTCTAGATTTCTGTACAACCAAAGCCATAATGGCAGTTACATCTTTAAAGGAATCGGGATGAGGGGGTTTCAACGTTTCCCTTTGAGGATATATTCATATACTCCTTGTGTAATTAAATACTTTTTTTTTATTTAAAGCGGGGTTTCGCTCTACAGAAAGGAGGCACATGAGCTCCAGCCGCCAAACACTAACAAAGCCCCCCAAGCCCCTCTCACATTCCTTCCTACCCTTTAACTACCAAAGACCTTGGCACCCCAAACTCTCACCCTGCCCCAGCTCATCAGCAGAGGGCTTGGAGGACTGGGTGGGGGGTTCTCTAGCCAGAGCCTCTTTTACTTTACTATCGGCAGCCCCCCTCTGCCCTCTGTTGGGAGGGGCGTGTCTCACATGGTCCCACTGAAGATTCTACTCACTGAACTCCACCATGTGGGCCCCCCTCTTCCTATAGCATCGAAGGAGATGGGCCTTGCCTTCTCCCCAACAGACCGTAGTCTTCCTTGCCTTTGCCCTCTGCACCAATATTCGCCAGGCACTCACTGACACCTACTCTGTCCTACACAGGGGTTCACCAGGGTGTTAGGTCTGCCCGTGCCTCGCTCCCCTTCAGACCCTGCACCCGGCCCTTCTACAGTAGGGTGCGTCTGATTAATCTGAGGTCTCCCTCCTCCCCCAGTGCCTAGCTCCGTGCTGGCCACTAGCAAATGCTTAGCTTTCCGGAAGCAATCCCAAATTCTGCCCCGGGGCTTCCCACACAGATGTCAACCCCACCATTGACCTTTTTCCACGGGCTGACACCCACCACGTGCTCCAAGGCATAAAATCCATGTGTTGTTTGGCTGGACAGGGGTGGTGGGGGAGTTCATCTGGGTGACCTAGCACCCTCACCCCCGTTTCTCACCCAACTCTCTCTCCCTCCCTAGGCCTTCTTTGGCCAGTGGCCTGCTTTAGGGACCAGTAAGAGTAGCAGCGAGAGCTCCAACACCAGTCCCTTCTGGCCAAGCGGACCCCACCTGGCCCAGGACCACAGGCAAGCAGCAGGGAGAGCCCACAGAGGGCAGGTATCTGCCAAGGGAGACCCCACCTGGAGAGCCCACATCCCTTGGGACCTCACCTGTCTGCCCAGGACCCCCCACCCCAAAACAGCTTTTATCCTGCAGGCAGTCCCCTCAGCTCAATTAATGATAAATGAATAATCCCAGCTTTCTTTGAGGGTGGGGAGGGGGCGCCCCCGCCAGCCTGTCAGCCAAACCTGCCTCCTAAAATACTTGCATATTCTGGTCTCCCTGCTTCTCACCTGGGGAATGAGGTGACGAGGGTCCCCGTCCTCCCTTGCACCCCAGCGTATCCCCACACTGTCTGGAGCTCAGGGCAGTGGTCAGAAAAATGGGATTCTGGATCACCGGCACCTCTGCCGGCTCCTGACGCCCTCTTACCTGCGGGAAGGCTCGGAGAGCCCCCACGAGCAGTAGTCCCAGCACTGGGTGGAGAGTGCACATCCTAAGCCCGGTTGGGGGGAGGGCTGCGCTCACAGCCCGCGCCCACCTTGGCAGCCTGGGAATCGCGCTGCGCCCACGTGCAGTGCCAGCCACCCAGAGCCACGCTTGAGCAGACCTCGGGAGCCGGAGCTGGCAGTCCTCCCTTGCGCACGCGCCCACCAAGCTGAGTGGGGGCCCAACCGCAAGCTGAAGTCACTTTAGGTGCTCCTTGTCCAGGATTCAGCCTTAACGCTTTCCTTCCCCCTTCTTCTCTGAGCACACTGGTTAACTGCTTAGAAGAGAAAAAAAAAAATGCGTTACTAGCAGCCACAGGGGAAAAAAACAAACACGTGCAAGATGACTCAGGACAAGCCACACTCCCCCTTTTGCTGTTTGAATGGCCCGCCCAGAATTTGACAGAACAGGGTTGGGTTGTCCCCCAGCCCAAAGGAGCTGGGCTGGGGGCGCAGAGAGGCAGCTGTTGGGACTCACAGGAAACTGGCAGGCTCCGGCAGGTCCCAACAGTCTCACCTCATCCCCACCTCAAGAAAGAGAAAACCTGAGTAGGTTATCAACCCAGACCTTCTCTCCTGCCCTGGGGGTTCTGTGGAAGAGACACTGCAGTCAGGTGACTCCAGAGAAAGCCACCACTCCACCAACCGCTCACCCCCATTCATATATATTTACTATGAAAAGGATCAGTAGGTGGATGATGAATGGATGGGTATATGGTGGGGGATGGATGCATGGGGGGGGGTTGATAGGTGATTGGGTGGAGGGATGGGGGAATCAGTGGGTAGATGCATGGATGGATAGGCGGATGGGTGAGCAGGTGGACGGACTGACAGACGGGGGGATAGGTAGGTGCACAACTGGAGGGACCGATGGAGAGAAGAATAGAGCATTGGGTTATCAATTCACAGGTGTTTCCCGCCCCCCTGAGAGTTGTCTGCCTAGAGAAGGAGCCTAGCAGTCTTACCTAAAAGAAAGAAACTATACAAGCTTCATTCCAATTCAGTTCTCATTTGCGGCGGGATGATTGTCCCTTCCGGGCTTCTCCGTCCCACGGGTTCTCTGCTGCTTTCATTCTACACCCCACACACATTTATTGAGCATCCACCAGGCAGGCTGCAGGCCAAGGGTTTATTTGCTTGTCTTGTGTTTGTTTTTGTCAGATGTGGAAACCAAGGCTCAGAAACAGCCAGCCAGTCCCAGGTGCTCTGTTTAAAGATGTCCCGTTGTTTTCCCTGTGCCCAGAATGACCCAAGGACCCTCAGGATTCTGTACCTCAGCCTGTCCTGCAAGGGGGCATGTCAGGCCCCCATCTGGTCAGCGTGGCCCACTGGTAGTTGTCTCCTGCCAGGACCCTCCCGACAAAGTCTCTACAACTGGCCACCCTTTGCCCAACACTCCTTGAACTCCTGGAGGCCACTTGGAAAATCTGCATTGGGCGCCCTCCCAGGAGACCCACCTCTGGGCTTTTCCCTGGATGCACCAGGCCCAGCGTCCTGGGATGTTTGAGCTGGGAGTACGTTAAACAAATAAGTAAGTGATTATGGAAGTGACCTCGCCTGATGTTCGCGGAACCCGACCTGGACAGGAGCAACCCAGGACGTCTGCTCCCCAGTCCAGGGCTTTCTACAATAGAATTGCTGGCGCTCTGAATAAATAAATGCTTGATCAACACACGCACAACCAAACAACGTGAGAATGGCTGACACAAGGGGACATACACATTGACAGTGATTACAAGTTTTTTTTTTATTACAAGTTTTAAAAGTTTCATCTTTCTAGCAATTGAAGAGATGCAAATGAAAGAAAACTTTGCTCCCTTTTAGATGTATTCAATCAGCAGGGTTTTTTTTGTTTTGTTTTTTGGTTTTTTTTTTTTTCTTTATAAAAACAGCTTTGGTAAAATCCCACCCCAAAGTTGTGATGAAACTGGAACACGCATTCCTACACTGCTGGTAAATGCTACAACCCTTTTCAGAAAGCAACCGGCAATTCTTAGCAAAGCCCCCCTCCCAACCCCCGCCAAAAAAAAAAATGTTTACGACTTGTGGTTCAGTAATTTCTGCCTAGTAAAGAAAAACTAAGGAAATGGTTCAACTGGAAAAAAAGAAAACTATATACACAGTAATGTTTCTAAAAGCATTATTTATAATTTGTGGAAATACCCCAAGAATCACAACAACAAAGAATGGTTAAGTAAACTGTGGTATATCCCTCTAATGGAATACTACACATCCATTAAAAATGATCATTACAGCGATGGAAACCTGGCCTGTCCTTCCCGTCTACGGGCTTCCAAAAGTGCCGTTCACCAAGTCTCCTTGGCAGAGAAACTTTGCCAAGCTGCAGTGGGGTGGGGGGCAGAGGGCAGGGTTCTCATCACCTGAAAAAAGTATAGCATTTACTTAATGGTAGTAATAATAGATGCCTTTGAGTGCTTACTTTATGCTAAGAGTTTTGGGGTATTGGTTCCTTGAATCCTCAGGGAAATTCCATGAAGAAGACCCTATGTTTTGTACCTACTCTGCAGGCAAGGAACTGAGGCCCGGAGCAGCGAATCCACCAGGCCAGGCTTCCCAGAGCCAGTGGCGCTCAAAGCCCTTTCCAGCCTGGCTCAGACCAGTTTCCCCTAGTGTCACCGTCAGCGTCTCCCCCTCACCCGGACTCCAGCCACGTGTCATGCTTTTCCCCCTCCATGCCTTTGCCCACTGGTCCTCCCCTTGGAATACACCTCGGATCATGTTTATCTTCAGAACCTGCCCCAATGCCACCTCTGCTTTGCTGCTTTCCTGGCATTGTCCCCTTCCTCTCCCCCAGCCATCTTCCCAGTCAAAAAGGCAGTTTCTGTCGGTTTTTTTTTTTGTACCTCAATTCTAGATCTGATCTCATTGTGTCACGACTGTAATGACTGGCGCATGCATCCATCTGCTTCCGGAAACTGTGGGCTCCAGGAGAGCCAGGATGCCCGGGAGCCTGAGACAGCGCCTGATACGCGGCGGGGAGCCAACGATGGGCCGGCGAGGAACGGGCTGGAACCCAGAGGAGTTCGCCTCTGCTGTAGAAAGTGCAGCAGCCTAGAAAAAAGGCAGCTCGTGGCACTCTGGAGAGCAGACCCTGGATGGAGCCGACTCAGGTCTCAGCACCTTCTGCAGGTTTCAGGTGTTCTTGAACCCCCAACGCGTGTGAAAGTGCTTTGAAGAGTGGGAGGGGAAGTCCCTAGGCCTGGGAGGCACAGCGGCGGGCCCTGCTGTGGGATTGCAGGAGGTCAAAGGCCCCTTCTGGGCCCGCCAGAGCAAGCTGTGGGAGCCAAGCCCCCAGGCCTGCAGGAGGCTGGCAGGTGAGCAGCCTCTCTCTCGGAGGAAGGGGGCGGAAAGCAGGTGCAACAGGAAGCTCTCCAAAGGGAACTGGGAATCTGTGTCACCAGAGAGATGCTGATCAAGACGCCAGGTTCCAACTTGGTTCAGGAAATTCAGGGACTTCCCCAACAGCTGGGAACCCCAGCCCCAAATGGCCCCAAAATACCCTAAGCAGATAAAGGGATTCTTTCTGCCACAGGCAACAGCAGGCAGAGATGGGAGGCTAAAACCAGAAGGGGGACGCTTGTACCTTTCTGCTCTGATTGGCCCAGGTACCTTTCTGAGCACCTTTCCTGAGAACCTCGATGGAAGTAGGGGCTTCATAGGGGGCTTCTCTGGTGGGACCTACGTGCCAGGCTGCCTCTGACTCAAGTCCCCAGAGCTCTCCCTTTTTCGAGGCCCAGGACACTAGCTGGATCTTGGTCACTCAGCTCTGGCCCCGAGGACGATGGTGAGAAGTGGCCACTGAAGGCTGGTGTCAGGGAGTTCACTCATCAGAGTTGAGAAGGAACAAACATTAGGGGATCCCAGCTGCCAGGGTGAACCCCAGCAACGCACACCCACAAGCAGAATACCCAGGCCTTCGGCCAGACATTTAATCCTGGCAACAAGATTTCAAGTCAGTCTTGCTATCCTCACTTCATAGATGAACAAACGGAGGCTCAGAGTAGTTAAGTGACTTGCCCGAGGTCACACAGCTTGAGAGTGTCAGGGCCGGAAGCTGGCTCTGAACCCTTCTGACTTTCAAACTTCAGCTGCCTTCTCTTCCCTCTCTAGGCCCCCGTTGCCCTTGCTTTCCCCAAGAGAAAGAACATAGGAGTCATGGTGTGGCGATGTGACTGTGGCCAAGTCACTTCTTTTCTCTAAGCGTATTTGTTACCTACTGTTGTGTGCCTCAAAATTTAGCAGCCGAAAGCAACAATACACATTATGTCATCTGTATCTGTAGGTTAGCAATTCGGGAAAGACTTGACAGGGTCGTTCTGGCTCAGAGGGCTCTCACGAGGTTGCAGTCAAGATGTCAGCTGGGGCTGCCATTATCTGAAGGCTCGACTGGGGCTGAGGGCCTGCTTCCAAAAGGAGTCCCTCAATGGCTTTGGGCAGGAGGCTGCTTGAGTGTCCTCACAACATGGCAGCAGGCTCCCTCCAGAGCAAGTGATCCCAAGAGAGCAAGATGGAAGCCGCATTGTCTTTTATGATCTAGCTTCAGAAGTCACACTTCGTCGTGTCCATGATATTGGTTACACAGGCTGGCTCTCCCCAGTATGGGTGGGAACTGCACAGGTGTGTGAATATCAGGAGGCAGGCGGGGATCCTTGGGACGTGTTTTCTTCTCTGCCAGATGTGGATTTCAACACGACCAGGCAGACTTCTGAGGCTGACAATGAGCCCTGAGTAAAACAGTGGACAGAGAAAGCTCTTTGGAATGCAAGGGGAGAAATATAAAGGGCTTGGCTGCCCTTGGCCCCACTCCCACTGGGTACCAGGCCCCTGCTATAAGCCCCAGACTTCTCCATCCAGGACCACAGCTGGAATGCTCATGGCCTGGAGTTTTTCTGCTCAGGGGACAAGTTTATCATGGCATTCACCATTCTAGCCAAGAGTGACTTATGCAGGGGCTTCCAGTACTGTGGCAGACCCACAGGTGAGAACCTTGGGTGCCAGAGGTCTTTCCCGGCCTCTCAGGTGATGCCAGGTTGGTGACCGTCTCCTGTGCCTCAGCACAGGCCAGCTTCCTGGTCACACAGCCACTGTGCAGACACTTCCCCAGGCCTCTGGCATCCAGGTCTGGGCTCAGCTGTGACTCCAGCTTGACAGGTGGCAACTCTAGGTGTGGGAAAACTTGATGGAGAGTCAAGAGCCCAGGTTCAAGCCCAGATCT